GGGGGGGGGGGGGGTGCCTGGGCCCCAGAACAGGGCCTGGGGAGACACCTCCCGTGGACTCCTGCCTTTGAGAAGAGCGAGGGAATCATCGGGGGTCTTGGCTGAAATGTTAGCCGACATCCCAGGCTTTCCGCCCTTACACCTTCTTTCTAAAACGAACAGTATTTACGCACCCCACTTTGCCAGCCATCAGAATCGTGCCTGATCGCCACGAAAGCTTCATGGGACACGCTTGGCACCCCTACCCTGCATGGTTCTGCTCACCTCAGTGTGGAGCAGGACAGGGAGCCTGGCACCGAGGGCAAAGCAAGACCCAAGACATGAGATTATCCTCATTCTCTCGCCAATGTGGAGGATAAACCCAACATGTAGTAAGTGCCAGAAAAGTCGGTTCAATAGCGTTTACCTTTCAAAATAACCCACACTCAGATTTGCTTTGAGCCCCAAGCTCACTGAGTGCAGCGATTCTAGAGTTCATTTTTTAAAGTCTTTGCAACGAATGAAAGCCAAAATTTCTCATGGAGCTCTGAGGAAGGGAAGTAGTAGCTAGTAGTACTGCTAACAGGAAGCCAAGCTCATGTAAAGCAATTTAAGCTTTTCAAGGTGCTCTTCTACCCGTGATCTCACTGGATGCCTGTGTCACCATCTGACAAATGAGAAAAACTGAATCCCAAAGAAGTTAAGTGACTACATTGAAATCTCATAGCTACTTAGCAGCAGAACCCGGACTCCCACCTGCTCAGCCGCAGGCCGTTTCCACTGAACAAGGAAGGAAGACGCAACAAGACTGGGCTGAAATGTTCATAGCTTAATCTGATTTAGATCAGATAGATGAGGCAACGCCACAGGGCAGAGAAAGTCAGCGGTTGTACCCACGCACGCCACAGACCTTGCCAAAGCTGCCTTTGCCCAGCACCTTGATGAAGGTGAACTCATCCAGACCCAAGCGCTTGGCCTGGCCCTGCCGCACTTCGCCGTTCTCGCCGGGGCTCGCCAGGTGGCCATCGCTGCAGGCCGCCGCCCTGTGCTCCTCCCCTCGGTTGTCAAATGACAAGGCCTTCCGAATGTTGTTTTCAAGTTCTTTTATTTCTAGGGCCAAGGGTGACAAGATACCACATTAGTGCATGCCTCATGATCCCTTTCCATCAGGACCCAGCACTCAGAACGTCCCCTGCCCCCAAGCGTGAGGCCTCCACCCTCCATCTGGTTCTTCACAGCAGCCAATCCAGTGCGGCATCTCTTCCCACATTCATTTGCTCTACACACCTTCATTGGCACCGAATGTACATGTAACGTACACGCTTTCATTGGCACCGAATGTACCTGTAATGTACACGCTTTCATTGGCACAAACGTACACGTAACGTACACGCTTTCATTGGCACCGAATGTATGTGTAACGTACACACTTTCATTGGCACCTAAGGTACATGTAACGTACATGCTTTCATTGGCATCTAGGTACGCAAACAAGAGGACACGGTCCCCACCAGCCAACACCTTCAGATTACACAAAAACTCGGCCCTCTCTCTGAAAGCCCCCTTGGCTAGCAGCCTGTTGTTATCTTAGGTGTCGTGCAGGAATCCTAGCCTTGTCTGGAATCCTGCAGAGTCTCAAAGGCAACAGGTACCTGTCAAGTCCCTTTGAAACTTAGAACAATGACTGAGAACAGTCATCACAGTTATCACTGGTGATATGACTATATCAAAAGCGAGGACCAGGAAGCCTTTAACTTGTAAAGCACTTTACTCGGCCTTGTTGTTGCATTTATTCTAATACCCATCTCCCAAGAGGATATTAAACCAAATGAGCAATGGGCTTATCATTAAGTGAAGAACTGTTTCCCGAGACTGGCATGCTGCAAATTTATCGGAGCCGGGGCAGGGATTCCTCAGTTCCATTTCACGACCATGGGACAGTCCTGTGCCCCAGCAGAGCATGTGACCTAAACTACCTGGCGGTGATAACACTGGATGACCCCCTGACCTTTGCTGTTTGGGGAAGCTTTATTGTTAGCTATTCATTCACCAGGACACACACACACTCCTCATTGTAGAAGTGGGCACCGAAAGCATACTCCAGTTTTAAGAGATGCTCATGAATAACTGGGATGGTCGAAGGAGAACACAGACCATTAACCCTGAGGAATCCGGGTTAGGCATGATAAGCATGTGCTGCCTGACATAAAGAGATCTTCAGCTTCTTTGCAGGACTGAGGCCCATGAAGCCTGCTCAAAGAATCTGGATCTTTCTTAGACCTGGAGTCCAGTTCCTCTAAGATGTGCTGGGGTGGAGGGGAGGGCAGGGTGAGGGTGGTTCCTGAGTCTAAAGCTCTCCCCTTGGCCAATTCACCCATTTCCTCTCTTTTATGCCTCTACTGAGTATAACTTCTAGTCTCAGCAAATGGCTTAAAGTCTCTGTTTTCAAGGCAAACTATTAAATGGGTTTTGGAAAACAGGACTTGGGTGTTTAGGGGCTTTAGAGCTTAAAGAAAATGTCACTGTGGGTGTTCCTTCCTGGAAGGAAGAGGAACTATGCGGCATCCCTGTTGTGTAGCAATGCTGTGTCTTGCTAAGTGTCTTTGCATCCATTTGTGCCCACACCACTGCCGGGTAATGCTCGTGCCTGCACTGACCAGAGACAAACACAGGCACTGCGTCCTGCCGGGTCTGGGCAGCACGCTGGCAGGAGCCAGGCCTAGAAACTCCAGCCAGCTCACTCTTACTGGGGGTCTCTACCATAGAACCCCGGCTCCTTGAAGCTCCCAAAGGAGGTCTCAGCACTAACATGGGGCACAAGAAAACACCTGCACGGGTTCTAGGATAATACCTACTAGTTTGGAGGCCCCCTGAGTGCCACTGGAAGTACATACAAATGGACCAAATTCTTTTTTGGAATTAAGCAGACACAGGAATAAAGACACAGGAAACTAATCAGAGCAGCAAGAGGAGGGATGCAGGCCGAGTACTTTGAGGCCTCAGGATCGGCATATTGCCCTGCAGCTGTTTCGTCTACTGCTGGATAAACTGAAGTGGGTCACACCCCCAGGGAGAGTATGACAGCACAGATTCTGAGGTGGGGCGGCAGCCCGGGGCAGTGGGCGGGGGGGGGGGGGGGGGGGGGGGGGGGTCCCAAAACCAGGAGGGGTATGGCATTGCTCTTACTGCTGACTTAGTTCCAGGCCTTTGGACAGAACTTTTTGACTCTCTGATCTTCCGCTTCCCACCCTGTAGCATGGGGCCAGGGATGGGGCACACCAACACAGAGTTAGTGTGCGGATAAGATTAAGATAAGGAACACAACTGGGGCTATGGAAAATCAAGGCACTATTGCCATGCAATGATGATTATTCCTGCTCTGCAGGAGCAGACATCCCTTTCCCAGGGACGCCTGGGTCTGATCACCAGAGGGCAAGGTTTTAAATGTGTTAGTCTCCCCTCAGCATTCTTGGATGCCTGCAGAACTCAGAAACTTCGACTACATGAGGCATATTCTTACGGGGAAGAAGGAAACATCCTAAGCTGAACTTTAGGAAGGGGTCAGGCCTAGAGCTGGCTTCCTCCCTTCTCTCGTCTGTTCTCTGCTTGGCGCTCCTGTCCCTGCTCAGCCACAGGCCCCTACTCATGCCCTGCTTTCAGGTTTTTGGGTGTGATGACCAGAGTCAGGAAAGAATTTGCTCTCAGCTGAGTGGCACAGACACATGGAAGGTCTGGGAGCAGGCTCAGGGTGCTTTCCTCCACTTGGAACCCGGGAAAGAGGCAGGAGTAAAGAAAGAACCACAACATTCCCTGCTTTTTCTCTCCTACCCTGGCATGGACAAGGTTTAACACGAGCAGAGCCATTTAGTGCCTCTCCCTGAAGAAATACTTGTAGAGAGAAAAGAGTAGCTAATGAGTCAGCAGGGAGAGGGTGTCTGAAGCCCTCAGTCCTTCAGATGATATTACTCAGAGGTCACAAAGCAAATCTGAGGGTCTCACCCTGGTCACAAGGGGAGGTGGGTGCTGACTTGGATCGATCTTCCTCAGACGGTGAGCTTCCGGAAGCAGGCTGCGGAGACTCAGCGCCAGCGATGAGCTAGAGAGAGGGAGAGAGAGGGAGAGAGAGGGAGAGAGAGGGCGGGGGTGGAGACGTGAGAAGGGAGGGTGGGGAGCAACCCCCAGGTCAGAACCGCCCAGATGCTGGACCCCAGCGAGGGCTGTAGGAGCCCCGGGGGCACAGCAGCACTTGCTGAACTGACCTTCTGAAAGCCCAGACTCAGGTTCCTCCTGACAGTTAAAAGGAAGACGAGACTGCACGTGGTGATGCACGCAAGTGCTGAATCACTAGGTTGCACACCAGAATCCAACATTACACTATGGGGCAGCCAACAGGAATTAAAAACTTAGGAAGAGACTGTGGTTTGTTCAGTTTTCATCCTATGCAAAGGCAATTGACCTGTCTAAGCAAAGCACAACTGCACCCCTTCTGTGAAAACCCGCTCGCCAATGCAAGCAGCGCGAGTTATCACGTTTACCCATCCTCTTGTTCAGCTGTGTTTAGTTAATGGCTTCTGCTTGTGGATACTGTGTGGGGCACTCTCCTTGGGTAGACTATAGGCTCTTTGAAGGTAAGACTCTATCTAGCATTTGTATTGCCTCTGGCGCCTTGTACCAAATGATACCTTTAGTCGAAGCTCAATAAATATTTTTAGGTGCATTGATATCGGTTGGCAAATTTTAACAGGACACCCTCCAGGGAAGTCTATTTCCCAGCACAGGTGTCAGTGCACCCATGTGGAGTTCCCACCAAAGTCAGAGGTTTGGACTAAGCGGTCACACATACTCTATTTTACTCTTGCTCCAGAGCCGTGTGCACACATCCTTGCTGGGTGAAGGACTACTCGCAAAGGGCAACGTGAAGACAGACAATGCTCCAGCAAGCCTGACGCTCTTGGAAAAAGCCCGCTTAGCTTCTGACCAAGAGACTTCTCTCCCTTCCTCACATGCTAAGGGACCAAGGGATCCAAGCCACGACTTGGATCATGTGGCTTTTTTCCAACTTTTGCATCAGAAGCAACCCAGCAATAAAAATATCAGAATCCTTTAGTCTTTAACGGTCTCTTCTTGAATTCCTCCATGTTGGCTTCATATCACCAGGTGCCCCCAAACCTCAGACAGACGATGGCTGGTTATTGGCATTATGGCCTGTGTAAATTGGGGGTGGGGGGCAGGGAGGGCAGGTGTGTATTGAGTTTTCTTTTAAAATGCTTCATGATGATTAATGAAGGTTCTGTCTCCATTTCCTTCTAGCAAGGAGAAAAGCCATATCTCCTGAAAAGGGCTCTCTCTAGAGCTCATAAATGTGTATGTCCAACTCTGTCATCACAAGGTGTTTACTTAACCCACTCCTTCGGTGGGGGTCTAGCATTCCTGGGTGCAGACATTCTGCTTGCAATTGCAATGCCTTGGGTCAATAGCTAAAGTCCTACTTCCACTGGTGGGATTCACAGAGCTAAGAGTCACCAGAAGCACAAAATCCCATAGCTAACCAACCGGGGAGAAGAGAGTTCTTCTCCTCCAACCTTTGCTTATTGGGAAGGTAAAGAAGGAGGAGTTTAAGAAGATTAAAACGATCCAAACCTCCCCATTCAAGGGAAAGGGCTCTTCTGAGATGCACCCGGGAAAAGGGGTGGGTAGCCTCTAAAAGAAGGGAAACCCAGAGCCCTTCAGAAGGAATTTTAGGGCAGGACTTAGGGAGAACATTGGGAGTCCAAACTGTAGAGCACCTGGTGTGAGAATTGCTTTTCTAGAAAAAGTGCTTGAGAATGCCTGGTACTGGGCAATGAGGATCACTGCCTGCTTCTCACCTCCACCAGAACTTCTTGCCCAGTTAAATGTGGTTCTGATTTTCTCATAACTTACTTTTTCAAAAACTCTTACATTTTCTAGGCTGGGAGCCAAGGCTAAGAAGGGCCTTCAAACAAAATGCTATGGATGCCTTTAGCTCTGTTTACATCTGTGGGCCCTGACTTACCAAAATAACATTTTAGCAAGTGGATCTCTTCCCACTGACATTCCAAAGGTCACCCGGGTAGAGACGGGGGCTTAGGTCTCCCAAGAAAGACCCAGATGTTTCATGTCACAGGGCATTAACAATGTCCCTTGGGCAGCTGAGTGCGGGCACTAGCACAGACCTTCTTGGCTTGTTCCCTAGAAAAGAATGTGGCTCCAGCTCTTCGTCCATTTATCCTCATTACAGCAATACCAGGGGGCAAAGTTCAAAACAGTGACATTGCTTTCATGCCAGTTCTGGAGGCAGATAAGCCTGTTGCCTCGTCTAGAACGGTGCTTTTTCTAGAGAGAATTCCAAAGTCCTCATCTCAAAGGTTATGTTTCCCCAAGGAATGTAACACTTGAGACTTGCTTTGTTTTCCCCCCACTTCTGGAACTGAAGGAGACTTTAATGTCACCTGCCTAATTTCTTTTTTTTTTTCCTTCCCTTTAAGCACATGCTATTTTGGGTGCAGTGTCTCAAACCCAGTGATCTTAGAACCTCACTCCATGGGGCTCTCAGGAAGCCAGCACAGAGAAAGTGGGCCCACAGAGAGCTCCAGAAACACCACCAAATAGCCAGTTACCTTTTTCCTCCTCTGGCCGCTGTTGGTGATTTTGTCTGGAGTGACGCCTAGGTCCGCCAGGACTTTGGCAATTCCTCTGGCATCCACTCCACAGTTGGGAGCTACATTGGTCTCACAGCGTCGGTGAACGTTCATCTTGCAGACTGTAAGGAGACACGGAGAGGAGACTTCCAACATTCATGACTGAAAACATTACATTATTTTTTTCCTGATTGTAAATGTAATACATGTTCATTTGACAGAATTTGGAAAATGCAGAAAGACAAAAAGAGAAAAATAAAATCACACAGAACTAACAGCATCCATCCAAACACCATACAGTGGTGTTTGTGGACAAATATCACATTACATTTCCTTTCAGGGAGCAGAACACTGACTATGAAAGAACAAAACTGGTTTATTTAGAGAAAGTTCATTTGGATCCTGAGCACAGATGGGTTGCATATATACAGTGCATTATACTACTTTGCTAAAATGTGCGAATATTACCCAGAGAGAAGTGCCCATAGTAGAGCCTGAGACACTCATCTGAACATGAGGACACTGAGTAAGGAGACCCCCAAGGCTCCTTTCAAATCTAAAATCCAATTTCAAAGGAACAAGAGCCGTGCCTGAAAGTCTTGTTTTGCCCATATCACTTAGTTGTCCTTGGTATAGAGCATCGCAAGTGAAAACATCAACCAGCTGGTTTCCAGCTTAGTATTCTGGTTTCCAGCTTAGCATGTACAGCATTTGGAGGACATCACTGGGTCCTAACAAGCACAAAGCTTGCACGAACCGGAAAACTCATTCTTCTCAGATTTACCAGAGAAGGAAGGTCACAGGGCAAACGCTACCGCCAAAATGAATGAGACAGATGGGTAGCTACAGTGAACCACAACTCACCAGGCAGAAACTCCCCAGCAGCAACTTCTGTGGGGGCCAGGGCAGGGGAACTAGAAGCGAAACTGACAAAGTGTTGGAGTCTCCGGGCAGACAAGGCTGAGTCCAATCTCTGGGCAGACCCAGTCAGTCATAGGGACCCCCCACATCTTTGTCAGTTTTGTTTCTAGGAGTTTGACCAGGTTCACAGAGTAAACCCTAGAGAAAAATTCCCTTATGCTTCTGGCTGCGGCGGGGGGGGGGGGGGGTGGAAGGCGGGACAGTGGGAAACCATTTTGAAATAAACCAGAATACTTTGTTCTTAACAAGGCCTGCTTTTAGGAGAAACTATTTTACAAGAGCCTCAACTATAGTAGTTTTATCAGATGCTACCTGACCCTGGCTCGGGGGAAGAGGCGGATACCCTAAGTCTAGCCTGCTGTAGCTTCCCATGTGGAAGAAGAAAGATACCCAACTCCAGCCCACTCCAGCCATACTGTCCTACCTAAGGTGGGAGGGAAAAGAAGAAAACAAAAAACCCTGAGTAATAGTCACAAAGCTCATAGTTCAGAGGAACAGGCTCAGGCAAAGACAGATCTAATTACAGGACTATAGAATGCTTCCCCTCCCCCACACCCTCGCCACCACCTTATTAAAGGCCTATTTACTGCAGTTCCTTTCACCTAGTACATCATGTCCAGCTATCAAGAAAAAGTTAAAAGGCATTCTAAAACGGCAAAACACACAGTTTGAAGAGACAGAGCAAGCTGTCAGAACCAGACCCAGACATGGCAGGAATGCTGGAATTGAAAACAGCTATGATTAATTTGCTAAGCGCTCTGATCAATAAAGTAGACAGCATGTGAGAACAAATAGGCAATATAAGCAGAGAGATGGAAATTCTAAGAAAGAATCAAAAGGGAATTCTAGAGATCACAAACACTTAACAGAAATGAAGAATGCAATGAGCCTGGGTGGCTCAGGTCATGATCTCACAATTTGTGAGTTCGAGCCCCACTTGGAGCTCTGTGCTGACAGCTCAGAGCCTGGAGCCTGCTTTGGATTCTGTGTTTCCCTCTCTCTCTGCCCCTCCCCCACTCATGCTCTGTCTGTCTCTCTCTCTTGCTCTCAAAAATAAACATTAAACATTTTTTTTTAAATGAAGAATACCATTGCTGGGACCATTGGTAGAATGGACACAGGTGAGGAAATAATCTCTGAGTTTGAGAATATGTCAATAGAAACTTCCAAAACAGAGAAGCAAAGAGAAAAAAAAAAGACTAAGGAAAAGAGAGACTGTCTAAGAACTGTGGGACTATAAAAGTTATAATGTGTATGATGGAAACACCAGAAGAAGAAGACAGAGATAAACAGAAGAAATATTTGAAGCAAAAATGACTGAGAATGTCCTCAAATTAATGTCAGACACCAAACCACAGATCTGGGAAGCTCAGAGAATACCAAGCAGGATATATGAAAGAAAAAAAAAAAAAA